CTTCCATTTTACATCTGGGTTGCTTGGGTAACAGAAAATAACCAGATCAAACCTACCAGATTGAAATTCCAAAAACACGCGGCGTCGAGAAATGTTCAACCTTAATGGTAGCATGCTACTAGTCAAAAGTGCTTATGTAGGAAAAGGAAAATGCATATTTTGCATTTTATAATGGTAAGTAATGACTCTTCCTTTTCGGTGATTATGGTTTTGTGTGTAAAACAAAAAAATGTATATAAAACAAAAATATATGGACGGAATATTCAAAGGTTAATAAGCCCACAAAACAACCCACAAGACCACACAAAAACCCACATCCTAGATAAAACTCTTCTACTATTGAGCTGTTAGCAAAGCTATTAAATTTAATTGCAGTATAATTACATAGCCGAATACCTAGCTAATACCTAGCTATCAAAGCCATTGAAAGCTCATTTAAATGTACACAAAACACAAGGGAGAGGAAGAAGGAGAAGTTTGCCTCAGGTCTTGCGAGATTCCAGAACTCAGCTTCGCTCTCATGCTCAAGCTCACAATAAAGATGTCAATCCAAGAAGGTGGCCTCCTCTCTCCAACAAGAAGAAATTCAAGTTCCTCCAAAAAAAACCTTTCATTTATAGAAACAATTTGTTCCTTTTTAAATCCATCGTGGCATTTGGAAGTGATGAGTCCTAGGAATGTGTCAATATTTTATTTTCAGAGTCTGGGAGTAATTGAAGGCATGAAAGTGGGTCACCACCTTCTGCTCTTCCTCTTGGTTCTATTTTCTGTTCCCTTCTTCTCTTCCTCCTCCTTCTTGTCTTCCTTCCTCAGGGGTGGCTCAACCCATTACGTAAAGTAGGCATTTGCAGTATAGTTGATTTTGCCCCAGGGCACTCTTGAGCCGCTCTTGGGAGAAAATAGACCTTGACATATGTGAGTTGTAGTTACTGGGATGTATAGTTCACCCACAATCAAAGAGCATTCTGAACTCCACCGATGATGGAATTGAACCAAATATGACACACAGAACTCCCACGACAAACAGAAGATCCCAACAAAGCAAATTGCCAACAATGAAATACATATTGAGATTCTGGATATGGAATGCGGCATGGAGGAGGGGGGGTGTTGCGCCAGCCGAGGGGCCCCCATAGAAGTGGTGGTGGGGAAGGGGAGATGCGGGAAAAGGAGACCATTAATTCGGCCTAGGGATCGTGTAACAACATTAGTAATTCCAAACCGGTCTCCTGATATGGTAAACTGGTGTAACCAGGATGGCGGTCCCTCTGGATTGAAGGTGGTGCTGTTGAACGCCAGATCTGTCAATGGAAAAACAACTTTCATCCAAGACTTAATCCTGGATGAGCGGGCAGATCTGGCGTGCATCACGGAGACCTGGTTGGACGAAGCGGGAGGCGTGAATTTGACCCAGCTTTGCCCACCAGGTTTTTCCGTGCAGCACCAGCCGAGATCCGGAGGGCGGGGAGGCGGGGTCGCAGTGGTCTATAGAGATTCCATCCCTCTGACCAGGGGCCCCATCCCGCAGTCAACAAATTTTGAATGTGTCCACTTGAGGTTGGGTGACCGGGACAGAATAGGGATTCTGTTAGTGTACCGCCCACCTCGCTGCACTACAGTCTCCTTACCTGAGCTAGCGGGGGTGGTCTCAGGCCTGGCATTGGAATCCCAGCGGCTCCTTGTGCTGGGGGACTTCAATGTCCATGCCGAGGCGGCCCTTTCAGGAGCGGCTCAGGACTTCATGTCTGCCATGGCAACCATGGGGCTGTCCCAGCAAGTATCTGGCCCCACTCATAGTGCAGGACATACATTGGACTTGGTTTTCTGCCAGGGATGGGAGGAAGGTGGTGGGGTCGAGGAGCTGACCATCTCTCCGTTGCCATGGACCGACCACTTCCTGGTCAGATTTAGGCTCACTGCGCCCCCTAACCTCTGCAGAGGTGGAGGACCCATTAAGTTGGTCCGCCCCAGGAGGCTTATGGATCCGGATGGATTCCTGATGGCTCTTGGGGAGTTTCCCGCCGCCTCGGTAGGTGATCCTGTCGAGGCCCTGGTCACTCTCTGGAATGGGGAGATGACTAGGGCAATTGACACGATCGCTCCGGAACGTCCCCTCTCAAGTAGCCGAGCTAAACCAGCTCCCTGGTTCACCGAGGAGCTGGCAGCGATGAAGCGAAGGAAGAGGGAACTAGAGAGTGTGTGGCGTTCAGATCCGAGTGAGCCAAATCGAACACGGTTTGTGTCCTTTTTAAGGGCATATGCCGCGGCAATAAAAGCCGCAAAGAAGGCCTTCTTTGCGGCCACTATTGCGTCTGCAAAGAACCGTCCGGCTGAGCTGTTCCGAATTGTCAGAGGCCTTTTAAATCCCACCACTCAAGGTGGGAACCCTGACGATTCGACTTCTCGCTGTGAAGCTTTTGCTCAGTTCTTTACAGACAAAGTCGCTTTGATCCGTTCTGGTCTGGATACCATGTTAATGGCAGTCTCTGAGGATGTAACACGAGCACCTGCTTGTCCAGTTTTGATGGATTCATTTCAATTGGTGAAACCCGAGGATGTGGACAAGATACTTGGAGGAATGAGGCCAACCACATGCATCCTGGACCCCTGCCCATCCTGGCTTCTAAAGGAGGCCAGAGGGGGATTGGCTGAGTGGGTTAAGGTGGTGGTTAATGCTTCCCTTCGGGAAGGCAAGATTCCAGCGAGCTTAAAACAAGCTATAATAAAACCGCTGTTGAAGAAACCATCACTGGACCCCACTAAATTCGACAACTATCGGCCAGTTTCCAATCTCCCCTTCTTGGGCAAAGTCATGGAACGTGTGGTGGCCTCACAACTCCAGGTATTCTTGGTAGACACGGATTATCTAGACCCGGCACAGTCTGGCTTTAGGCCGGGACATGGTACCGAGACAGCCTTGGTCGCCTTAGTGGATGATCTGCGCCGGGAGCTCGACAGGGGGAGTGTGTCCCTGTTGGTGCTGCTGGACCTCTCAGCGGCCTTCGATACCGTCGACCACGGTATCCTTCTGGGACGCCTCGCAGGGATGGGTCTTGGAGGTACTGTTTTGCAGTGGCTCCGGTCATTCCTGGAGGGTCGGTCTCAGAAGGTGTTGTTGGGGGACACCTGTTCAACCCCACAACCATTGTCTTGTGGGGTTCCTCAGGGCTCAATATTGTCTCCCATGTTGTTTAACATCTACATGAAGCCGCTGGGGGAGATCATCCGGAGTTTCGGGGTACGGTGTCATCTGTACGCGGATGATGTCCAACTCTGTCACTCCTTTCCACCTGCTACTAAGGAGGCTGTCCAGGTCCTGAACCGGTGCCTGGCCGCTGTGACGGTCTGGATGAGGGCGAACAAATTGAAATTGAATCCAGACAAGACAGAGGTACTCCTGGTCAGTCGCAAGGCCGAACAGGGCATAGGGTTACAGCCTGTGTTGGATGGGGCCGCACTCCCCCTGAAGATGCAGGTTCGCAGCTTGGGTGTGACCCTGGACTCATCGCTGAGCCTGGAACCCCAGGTTTCGGCGGTGACCAGGGGAGCATTTGCACAGCTAAAGCTTGTGCGCCAGCTGCGCCCGTACCTTGGGAAGTCTGACTTGGCCACGATAGTCCACGCTCTGGTTACATCCCGTTTAGACTACTGCAATGCTCTCTACGTGGGGTTGCCTTTGAAGACAGCTCGGAAGCTCCAACTAGTCCAACGCTCGGCAGCCATGATTTTAACAGGAGCGGAGCGCAGGGAGCATACAACCCCCCTGTTGCGCCAACTCCACTGGCTACCGATCTGCTACCGGGCTGAATTCAAAGTGCTGGCGTTGGCCTTTAAAGCCCTAAACGGTTCCGGCCCAAGCTACCTATCTGACCGCATCTCTGCCTATGAACCCACCAGGAGTGTGAGATCTTCCGGGGAGACCCTGCTCTCGATCCCGCCTGCTTCTCAAGCTCGGCTGGCGGGGACGAGAGATAGGGCCTTCTCGGTGGTGGCTCCTCGGCTGTGGAACGCCCTTCCTACGGACATTAGACTAGCACCATCTCTAATGGTATTCCGCAAAAAGGTGAAGACCTGGATGTTTGTGCAGGCGTTTGAGTAATTTAGTGCAATCTGGTAATGGAACATAGGAATGGAACAAGGGACGACGAACCTGGACTACGCTTGGATGATGAGAAGATTGGGTACGGTTGTTTTTTGTAATAATTGTGCATTGTAACTGCTTATTGGTAATTTATGGATAATGTGTTAAGTCAATTGTTATATGTTGTATGGAACCACTGCTGTTTCTACTGTTTTTACTGTTTGTGAACCGCCGTGAGTCGCCTTCGGGCTTGAGATACAGCGGTATATAAGCAAAGTAAATAAATAAATAATAATAAATATATGTGGGGCCCCCGGTAGCGCAGTGGGTAAAAGCACTGCGCTGCTGAGCTTGTTGATCGAAAGGGCGCAGGTTCGATTCCAGGGAGCGGCGTGAGCTTCCGCTGTCAGCCCTAGCTTCTGCCAACCTAGCAGTTCGAAAACATGCAAATGTGAGTATTGGCGGGAAGGTAACGGCGCTCCATGCAGTCATGCCGGCCACATGACCTTGGAGGTGTCTACGGACAACGCTGGCTCTTCGGCTTAGAAATGGAGATGAGCACCACACCCCAGAGTCAGACATGACTGGACTTAATGTCAGGGGACTACTTTTACCTTTTATGTATATATTTATATATGTATATATATGTGTATATATATGAATTCATTCCGCAATATATTATGTATGCTGCTTTAATCAACTCAGTTTTGTTGTTTGTAACTAACGCCAGACTCTTCTCCAGTCCTTTAACCTGGAACACCCAACATAAGTCACCCACAAAACCTTTGTGTATACTGCTAGTTTGCCAGGGAGGCAAAGAAAGCTTCTGCGCAGGCGCAAGGGAATCCAGTGACCTCACCCTGCCTTCCCGTTTCCTCTGGGGTTTCAAACCTCCTTCTGCCCGCGAACGCGATGGCTGCTTGAGCTTCGGGCGCGCTGCGTCATCTGCGAGCGCCGGAAGTAACCCTAGTGTGGGGTTTCTGTGTGCATTTCCTCCCTCCACGCGGATCCTGTCAGCTCTGGCTCCGAGTCGAGGGCGCAGAGGGCGGGATTTTGAACGTGTCTTGTTTCTGGGTCTGGTTCTCTTGGCGAGGCTGCATTCCTTCCCCTCCCTGACCCACCCCTGAACCTGTGGGCGTTGGGCCTCCTTCTCTTTGGCCATGGCTGGCATCCTCTTCGAGGACATTTTCGACGTGAAGGATATCGACCCCGAGGGAAAGAAGTTCGACAGGGGCAAGTATTCTGATTGTGGTTATTATTATTATTATGTACTAGCAGTCCCCTGCCACGCATTGCTGTGGCCCAGTCTGGTGATCTTGAAGATAAAGTAATGAGAAAGTGTTGGTTTCTAATATGTGTAATTCCTTTCTGCTTGTGAGTAAACAGTATTTCTTGTTGTTTCTTTGTCAGTGTTGATGTGGAGAGTGTCTGGTTTCCCTACTCTGGAATATGCAACATATCAGCTAAACATTAAAAAAAAAAACCCCAAGATTATGGCAACAAGAATGATTGACAACTGGGAAATAGAGGGAGAAAATGTGGAGGCCGTGACAGACTTTGTATTTCTAGGCGCAAAGATGACTGCAGATGCAGACTGTGGCCAGGAAATCAGAAGACGCTTTCTTCTTGGGAGGAGAGCAATGTCCAGTCTCGATAAAATAGTAAAGAGTAGAGACATCAGACTGGCAACAAGATCCGCCTAGTCAAAGCCATGGTATTCCCTGTAGTCACCTACGGATGTGAGAGCTGGACCTTAGGGAAGGCTGAGCGAAGGAAGATCGATGCTTTTGAGCTGTGGTGTTGGAGGAAAGGGCTGAGAGTGCCTTGGACTGCGAGAAGATCCAACCAGTCCATCCTCCAGGAAATAAAGCCCGACTGCTCATTGGAGGGAAGGATACTAGAGACAAAGTTGAAGTACTCTGGCCACATCATGAGGAGACAGGAAAGTCTAGAGAAGACAATGATGCTGGGGAAAGTGGAAGGTAAAAGGAAGAGGGGCCGACCAAGGGCAAGATGGATGGATGGCATCCTTGAAGTGACTGGACTGACCTTGAAGGAGCTGGGGGTGGTGAAGGCCGACAGGGAGCTCTGGCGTGGGCTGGTCCATGAGGTCACGAAGAGTCGGAGACGACTGAACAAATGAACAACAACATAGCCCTTCATTAAGGGTCTCTTTCAAATCTATGATACTATATCTGTGTGTGAGAGAGAATCATATCTATCTATATTTATTACATTACATTTGTAATGTAATAAATACAATGTAATACAATGTTCTGGCTGCAGATGACACGATAAATAAAATATCTATATTTATGACTTGATGGCTCTGTGTCAGGAGGGATCTGATTAGATTTTCTTGCCCTGGTGAAGAGAGTTGGACTGGATGGCCTGAAGTATTTTCTGTTGGTCATGGGGGTTCTGTGTGGGATGTTTGCCCCAATTCTGTCATTTGTGGGTTTCAGAATGCTCTTTCATTGTTGTTGTTCATTCGTTCAGTCGTCTCCGACTCTTCGTGACCTCATGGACCAGCCCACGCCAGAGCTCCCCGTCGGCCGTCACCACCCCCAGCTCCTTCAAGGTCAGTCCAGTCACTTCAAGGATGCCATCCATCCATCTTGCCCTTGGTCGGCCCCTCTTCCTTTTGCCTTCCACTTTCCCCAGCATAATTGTCTTCTCTAGGCTTTCCTGTCTCCTCATGATGTGGCCAAAGTACTTCAACTTTGTCTCTAGTATCCTTCCCTCCAATGAGCAGCCGGGCTTTATTTCCTGGAGGATGGACTGGTTGGATCTTCTCGCAGTCCAAGGCACTCTCAGAACTTTCCTCCAACACCACAGTTCAAAAGCATCTATCTTCCTTCGCTCAGCCTTCCCTAAGGTCCAGCTCTCACATCCGTAGGTGACTACAGGGAATACCATGGCTTTGACTAGGCGGATCTTTGTTGCCATTCTGATGTCTCTACTCTTTACTATTTTATCAAGACTGGACATTGCTCTCCTCCCAAGAAGTAAGCGTCTTCTGATTTCCTGGCTACAGTCTGCATCTGCAGTAATCTTTGCGCCTAGAAATACAAAGTCTGTTTTAATATTTATACATAATTTTAGTAGTTATATAGTCTTTGTGTATACTCCAGCCAAATATCTATATTTTTGGATAGCATAGAGAAAGGTTAACACCTCTGTGGCGTTTGTTTTGCTGTCTGTGCCCCTGTTATGATTTCACCTCACTTTCTGTCCCAGTGATAATGATTTTGGACAATTTGACTTGTTGTGGATACAAGGATTGGCGATAAAGCTTCAGTGGAGACACTTTTCCAGATGTGAATTTCCCTTCTGAGGGGTAGTAGTTCTTTTTCCCCCTTCCAAGGTTTTGCTGTTGTTCATCTTGCTGCCATAAAACTACATTGGCAAATTCCTACTTCTTTTTTGCTAATTCTTTCCCAAAACAAACACAATAAGTACACTTTTGGGTTTTTCTTAGTCTTTTTAATAATCATTTTCTTAGTTTCTTTAGTCACCTTTTCCCAAAACTTATCACTATACAGATCCACCAAACATGGAACTTTGCATTTTGCATCTCCAACATTCCCCCCTTTGGGTTTTATCAATATTAACCATTAATTCAGGAGTTATATAACTTCTATAGTTATATAACATTTTATACATGTTTTCTCTAATAGGATTATATTAACGAGAATATTTCCCAAGAACTATTCCTGCCCTCTGTGTCAAGACCCAGAAGCCTCAAGAATGCCAAACACAGTATAAAAGGTCCAAACAAAGGTTTATTAAACACAAAAAAGGCTTAGAGACCCTTAACTCAGTGCCTCTAGCACAAACTAACAGTCTATAGCAATTGCTAAGCAAAAAACCCAATTTAAATATAATCTGGATTATACCGGAGCATAATCTGGGATAACAAAAAGTTACAGCAATCTGCTTGAAATTCAAAAGGTCCAAAAAGCACAAGAAAACAAGGTAGGAGCATGCAAAATCGAAGTCCAAAAACAGCCCAAAGTCCAGGCACATCCAAAATGAGATGAAGCAGTCCAAAAAGCAAAGTCGTTGTCAAAACACAGTCCACAGTCAAAAGGGAGGTTGAAGTCAGCACTTACGGAATTCCAGCCAGAAGTCACGGAAACACGGAGATCTGTAGTCCAAGGACCCAAACTTGAGAGTAATGGCAGTAACAAAGATTCACACCCGATAAGACACTTTGCCTTTTGCAAATACCCATTGAAACCAAACCAACTTACATCCTATAACTCCTCCTCAGAGGATGAACTGCTCCCCACCCTTTCATCATCACTTTCAGCTGCCCCATTCCCTGCAGCTGCCCCATTCCCAAGTGTTCCCCGATTGCCACTCTTCTGAAAACCCCTCAAAGTCATCACTGGAGGTAGGCTGAGTACAGATGTCCCTAATCTCCTGTACACGGGTCCAGTCTAAAGCATCCTCCTCCCCATCGTCACTCCCAGTCCCATCACTCCTTTCAAAACCCACAAAGTCTTCATCTTCTGTTGGAGCGCTAAGTATATCATGGATACGCTTCCTTTGGATCTCCTCATCTGATTCTTGTTCTCGAGTAGCCTGCTTAACTCCCCTGCTTTCCTCTCCTTCCCCCATTTCACAGTCTGAGAAACCCTCGAAGGACTCAGAATCAGTTGGAGCCATGAATATGTCTCTAATCTGCTTTCGCTGCTGCTCCTCCTCCAACACCTGCGCAGCCCTCTTCTCCCTTCTACCAGTAGTAGTAACGTCACTCTCACGCTGTACTACAACACTCTGTGAACCTTCCCTTCTACCCCCTCATTCATTTATGGCTCTTATACCTAATGTTTCTCCCAAGAACCTAAGGTGCCATACATACCCCCCCCCCCCCCCCGCCCAATCTACAGATCACAATCCTTCGCTGTAGGCCAAACATTAATACATTACTAACAGTCACCCACCACATTTCATGATGACATTTGAACAGGGTACAATCTGCTTTCACCCTATCTGTCTTCAGGCTACTAGAAAAAGTACCCATTTTCTGCTTGATGACAATACACTTCCAATGCTGTTTCTTAATTGATGCTTGGGTTTGTCTCATCAGTTTCCCGACTGCATTGTGAGAGTGAGTCCTTCAAGATGGATTTAATCCTAGATGTGAATGTACAGATCTACCCTGTTGATCTTGGTAAGTAAATTTTGAGTGACTGGCCTAACTGTTGGGTAATAGCTAAGCTTGTGTTGTTTGATTAAAAATCTGTATCTTTATTTATTTGCGAATTCAGGCTTCTTGGCTTATCGTATATAAACCTTGCTCTTTTTCTCTTATCCAAAATGCTTTGGATCGCAGATTTTCTTTTTCATATTTTCATTTAAGTGCATCATGAGCTATCTTGGAGATGGGATGCAAATGCAGAATTCATTTATCTCTCATGTACATCATATGCATACAGCCTGAAGGTATTTTAAATAATTTTGTTCACATAACAAAGTCCATGTACACTGAACCATCAGAAAGCAAAAGGTATAAGTATCTCAGCCAGCCACGTGGACAGCTTTGGAGGATTTTGGAATTCCAGATAAGGGATGCTGAACTTGTAACATGCAGAAGTATTATTTCAGCCATAGTGCAGCCTTTGAAATCACCTTGTACTGAATTGACAGTGTCATATTTTGCTTCAAGCGTGTTATGTACCTAAAGTCAACTTTTGGTGTCTCTATGGTAGTGTTTTCTTGTCAAGATTTCTTTAGAAGAGGTTTGTTATTGCCCTCTGAGGATGAGAGAGTGTGGGTTGCCTAAATCCTTTCAAAGGTCTTCCATGGCCAGACCCTCGTCTCCTGGAGTCATAGTTCTACTACTCAAACCAGTACATTGCACTGACTCCTATGTCTCCTGTCTTCTCTCATTTCAGGTGACAAATTCCGCCTGGTAATTGCCAGTACCTTGTACGAAGATGGAACCCTGGATGATGGTGAATACAATCCTACCGATGATAGGCCATCCAGGTAATGCAAAAAATGTTCTGCCAGAGTTGTGGATGTAACATAGGTTTGGGTGAGTACTGTGTCTACATCAGTGGTTGTCAATCTGTGGGTCCCACATGTTTTGGCCTCCAACTCCCGGAAATCCTAATAGTTGGTAAACTGGCTGGGGTTTCTGGGAGTTGTAGCCCAAAACACCCAGGGACCCACAGGTTGAGGACCACTGGTCTAGATCATGCTTTTTTGCAGATTTAGCCCCTTGGGGAGACTGTCTTCTCTGTCCCACCACCTGCACCGTTGCATCTCTTACAAACGTGGCAGCCCCAGTTCACTTCTCCAGGAGGTTAAATGCCCCCCTCCTTGCCATGCTGTCATTAGCAGAGAATTTTTATGTTTGTTTCGACAAGCTTTTGATAACTGGATTTTACATAATGTGAAGTTCTATTCCCAGTTCTTGTCTTTTTAATGCATGTGTTTTTTTAAAAAAAGACATGTTTAAAATCAAATTATTTTTGCAAGTCACTTTGGATTTCATAAAAAAAAAGGAAGGATAGAAATTAAAGCCCTCTCAATTTTGATTGTTATTTTAAAAATTGTATTGAAATAGTAATTTTTTGCATGCTTTTACTCACACATTCAATTTTTGGAAGTTGCCTTGCATCTGAGTTCTTGGGAAAGATAGGAATAATTTTTTGCTTCTCAACTTATACAGTGTATGTGTTATACAGTGGAACTCTCTGCCCCGGAGTGTGGTGGAGGCTCCTTCTTTGGAAGCTTTTAAGCAGAGGCTGGATGGCCATTTGTCAGGGGTGATTTGAATGCAATATTCCTGCTTCTTGGCAGGGGGTTGGACTGGATGGCCCATGAGGTCTCTTCCAACTCTTTGATTCTTTGATTCTATGATTTTTTTAAAAAATGAATATTATTTACAATTGTGCTTTTTCTCTTCTCTGTAGAGCTGATCAATTTGAATATGTGATGTATGGGAAAGTCTACAGAATTGAGGGAGATGAGACTTCAACAGAAGCAGCGACACGCCTGTAAGTTTCTCACAATTGTAGGACTCCCTTATTTGAGAAAAATCAATGTAGCTATAAGCTTTACAAATATGAAATACATTAAGCTCACCAAGTGTTTTGGACTTTAGTTCCCAGAAGCTTCACTCAGTAGTCAAAGCTGAAGACTTATGGGGATGAAAACTCAGACAGTTGGAAAGCCAAATGTTCTCCATTCATCCTAAAGGCTTGGTTTCTGCTTCTCAACTTTTTTCCTTCCTCTTCCAGCTCTGCCTATGTATCCTATGGAGGCCTGCTCATGAGGCTACAAGGAGATGCCAACAACTTGCATGGCTTTGAAGTGGATTCCAGAGTTTATCTGCTGATGAAGAAACTGGCCTTCTAGCCAAGTGGAGTTGTTGGATGGTTGAAGGATAGAGGAGAGACTGAACTATTGCTGCCCCTCAGGAATATGGAAAAGGGGTTGGAGAATCTAGTGGCTGGCTGACATCTTGTGTTTTCCACACCCATGTCTTCCCATTACCTGAATGAGTGGCTGCAGAAGAAACTTCCTTTTCTTCAGATTGCATCAAGACTTTCTGACAAAGTTGGTGCCAAATGCCCCAGATGGGGAACAAGTCAAGCACCAGGCTGATTTTTTTTAAAAAAGAAATCCTATTAAAATTGGAGAAATTCCATTTTTCTCCAAGTGCCTAGACAGCTATGATTAACAACCCTTTTTATTGCCTATACATCCCTGAGAGTCAGCTTGGTATTTCAGGAAGACTGTGAACACAATCTCATTGCTGCCTAGCAAGTGTAGCAGCAACCTTCACTTTGATTTTAGTTTGTTGTCTCAATTAAAAATATAGATTTTTCTTAATCAGGCTGCATGCCTGTCTGGTGTGATCCATTTATACTAGAAAACCAGTGGTTCAAGAATCTTAAGACTTGCAAGATACTGCAGCCAGAAATCCATATTTTGCAGACTGGGCTCAGTTAACTCCTCCTTTTAGTAACAGAAATGGATTAGCCATTTCTGGGCCAAGAATGCATTTTGTTCAGGATTTAAATCAGAGTGTTTAACACAGGAAAAAATTCCTAAACTGGACATCCATCCATACCCCACAGGACTAAAAAGGGGCTTTGTCAGCTTTAATATCTGCTTTGCACCTCTGTATCTTTGTGAGACCTAGTAATATGTTTTTCTGTTTTCAATTCATAACAAAAAACTTTTTTTATCATGTCAAAAGCGACTTGAGAAACTGCAAGTTGTTTCTGGTGTAAGAGAATTGGCCATCTGCAGGGACGTTGCCCAGGGGATGCCCGGATGTTTTACCATTCTGTTGGAGGCTACTGTCATGTCCCCACATGAGAAGCTGGAACTGATAGATGGGAGCTCACCCGGTCTCACAGATTCGAACTGCCAACCTTCAGTTCAGCAGTTCAGCCGGCACAAGTGTTTAACCCATTGTGCCATCACAGCTCCAGAACAAAAATAAGAAAAAAAATATTATAACCCATAGAAACTCAATGAAGGAAAATGGGGCAGAGGTGAATTCCAGACACTTCACAGCTGACCAAACTCATTTAATATTTACAGTAGGCCCTCCGTATTTGATGAGGCCCCTTGCAAAAGTGGAAAGATCATAACTAAAAGGACTATTTTTTTACCTAGAGATTCCTAGAGACACCACATTAATCTAATTCATAAAAGTCAAACTAGTAATTGTGAAAGGTCAACTACTCTCTTTTCTCTAAAGCCCATAAATTGGAGACATTAATTTTCTATTTCTGTCTCCCCACCTCCACATTGCATGTAATGAAAGGGAATCCGCAAGGCAAAAGCTGGGCTGTAACTTAACAATACATTTTAACAGGAAGACATGAAATGCACAAATATAGATTGGCTGATACCTGGCTTGCAAGCAGTACTTGTGAAAAAGGTCTTAGCACAAGTTAAACATAGGTCAACAATGTGATGCTCTGCAAAGACAACAAATGCAGTCTAGACTGACCACAGGAGCACAATGTCCAAATCAAAGGAAGCAACAGTCCCACTCCTTTCTACTTTGGTCAGCCCTCACTTGGAATAGCCCTGTGTCCATTCTGAGCACAACAATTCAAGAAGGCTATTGATGAGCTGGAAAGTATCCAGTAGTGGGCTACGAAAATGGTAAAAAACCCCAAAAATGAGGAATGACTTTGTGAGTTGGATGCACTTAGTTGGGAGAAGAGACAGCCAACAGGACAGCTATCTTTAAATATTTTAAGACGGGACATAGAGAAGATGGAGCTTGTTTTCTTTTGCACCTAGGGCCAGTACATGACCCTATGGATCCAAATTACAAGAAAAGTGATTCCATCTAAACGCTAGGAAAAACTTAGCCATAAAAATTATTCAGTAGTGAAATACTCCCTCGGGGAGTAGTTGATGCTCCTTTGAAGGTATGTGCCAAGCTGAATGGACATCTTTCAGGAGTGTTTCAATTGTGTATTTATGTGTAGCGAAGTTGGACTGGATGGTTCTTGTAACACCTTCCATGAGTCTACATCTAACCTGTATGCAAGGCCTTGCAACTCTCTTTCTCTGACCTTCAATTTAATGAGGCTGAAAAACTATGAGACTTTTTTTTACAAAGCACATGTTTATTATGTTAACAGTATAGCTAGAAAGTCTTCTCTGGCTCCCTTTTACTCCAAGCCTTGTCTGTGACAAGCTGCTATGATCCAGTCTGAAATGCATGTCCACAAGAGGCAAACGGTTGTATTTCTTCACCTTCTACTAAAAGTTTCTCCCCCTATTCTTATTTACAATTGACAGTCCCAAGTACCCTGTGTTTTGTTTCAAGGAAGCTATAAGGGAGGAGAAAACATCCGTGAAATATGTCCTTGTTTCGCTCCATGTTAACCATTTAAATATCAAAACACGTTTTGCTGTGCCTTGAGGCAGGTCTTGGCATAATGTGAATACCCCCCCCCCCCAAAAAAGGCAAATAATTGTGTTATATGCCTCTAAAATTTATTACAGTTTCATAATGTATTACCTACCAAAATGTGGCCCCTATTGGTTTCTTCAATGGAATCCGAACCAGTTCAAAGTATCCAGGGCTTATTGACAAGCTGAAATGCACTGGTAGATGTTCTTGTGTCTCAGTTTTCTTGTCTTGCGAGCAATATATCTTTAAAGAACATAGCGATCCATTGGTAAGGACTTCTTGCAGGGAAATGACACTAAGCAGCATCCAGCATGAGTGATTACATAGAAAGCCCAGAATCCTGTAGTAAGAAGTGCTTTCCTGAGAATGGCCATTGCCACTTCCTTCCTGCCCACTTTTGCACCATATAGTGCATCAGAGGAGCTAAAATTTCAGCCCAAGTAAAAAATGGAGCTAAGAGCAGGTCCTTTTGCGAGCTGGACTGACTATGAGATTCCTTTATCTTGCAGCTGTTATTTATTGAGGAGGGCTCAGACTTCTCTGGTATTCCTCTCTTCACCTCTAGCATTGTGCCCCAAGCCATGACTCCAAAGGTCTGGGAAGCACCGCTCTTCCTCTCTTGGCCACCAAAGGGTCAGCCATTCGTGTTGCCTTTCTCCAAACAGCATAGACCTGGAGCCTGCAGGGTCTCTCACTGCTGGTTCCTTGAAGTGGCCCAACTGGAAGGATGCTGAACTTACTCGCTGGACCGAGCATGACGATCCACCCCACAAGAGGACTCTTTCCTCAGGTCATTGAAGAAGAAGTGGAGCTTTCCTTGCAGGAGCTGTCTGTAGGTCTGGAAGATCATCCTGAGGTTCGTCTCGGAGGTTAGCTCAGGGGTTCCTTCGGGCTGCCTTGTCGCTTCTGGTTCCTGGAAGAAGAAAAACATGATTGTAACTGCTGAGATGAAGCTCACAATGTGCCCTGAACTCAGGACTTCATCAGCTACAAGCAAAGCTCTGGATGAAACAGCAGAATCACTTCAATGACTGCAAGAATGTCTTAGCTGACACCTCAATATCTTGTACGTGGGGTAGCCTAGTCATTTTAAAAACCAACCCTATTTAACTTCTCAAAGGTGAAATTGAGTATGCTCAGGATAATGTCTCCTTTGAAAGCATCCTGGACAGGGTTTGGAGACAGAATTCCTTTTCTTTCCTTGCCAGAGAGATTGGGTATACATGACCATGACCATCATCATGATCATCATATTATTTTTATTAAAGTCATCCCTCTGCATTCCCTGGGGTTAGGGGCACAGGAAAGTGAAAAACCATGAATAAAGTAATTGTTATTTTCTTACCTGAGATATCACTTTTCTAGAATTTCTAGATTTTCCAGCCAATACCTCTGTGGTCAACTTCCACTGGAAGCTGGCCATAGAAATGCATTAGAGGACTTGGAGATTCCTAGAAAAATATTCTGTCTAGAAATTTTTAGGTGTTGTCGAAAGCTTTCATGGCCGGAACCACTGGGTTGTTGTAGGTTTTTTTTCGGGCTATATGTTCTAGAGGCATTTCTCCTGACGTTTCGCCTGCATCTATGGCAAGCATCCTCAGAGGTAGTGAGGTCTATTGGAACTAGGAAAAAGGGTTTATATATCTGTGGAATGACCAGGGTGAGACAAAGGACTCTTGTCTGCTGGAGCTAGGTGTGAATGTGTGAAAGGTGGTCAGCTGAAACATTCACACCTAGCTCCAGCAAACAAGAGTCCTTTGTCTCACCCAGGTCATTCCACAGATATATAAACCCATTTTCCTAGTTCCAACACACCTCACTACCTCTGAGGATGCTTGCCATAGATGCAGGCGAAATGTCAGGAGAAATGCCTCTAGAACATGGCCATATATCCCGAAAAAACCTACAACAACCCAATTTCTAGGTCCTCCATCACGACTGAAGGAGAGTGAATATTGAATCCCACTGAAGGATCTAGGGATTGCTAGAGATAACATTTTTATTCAAATCTCCGAATAATAAAATACACAAAAATCAAAAAGGCAAATGTGGAGAGGCGATTGTATTATATCACCATCATCCTGGAAGACATATTAAAGTGTCGCTGTGTTGGCAATTCTGCAAAATACAAAATCCGCAAGAATACCTTTATTGGCCAACCAAAATGCAGAAAATACATTTTTGGGTTCTGGAGATCCTTCGAGAGCAAATGAACCACAATAGAAGCAACCTGATGAAGAAGACGGAGATTTGGAAAGCTTGCAAGATGTATTTTCTGCATTTTGGTTAGACAACAGATGTACTGCTATTTTGCTTTTTTTTTTTTTTTGTATTTTGTTGTGTCTTGGAAAAGTTGCCAGTAGTCTCACCTGTGACCCATAACTTTGTAGATGCGGCACAAAGAAGCTGGCTTTCCCATAAAGCTGCTGAAGTAATACAGAAGGACAGGGTTGCTTCAGTTCTTGCTGGGTTGCAGCTATGCCATCCACCAGTGTAAGGAGGTCACGGAGGACTTCTTGGCCCTTGACTTGATTCTAAGGAAAACAAACAGGCAAGTGTATAACCTCAGCATTTTCCCAACCATCTCCCCAGTATACTGGGTGAAACACTTATCACAAAGCTGGAGAATGTAGCAAGCTAGATGATTATAAACACATCTGGAGAGGCATCAGGAGTATCTAAAACATAGGCTAACCAGAATCCTCCCATCCCTAAAGGACAAAATCCCAGGATATTCCAAATGTTGCATATTTTGTACATCAACTGGACCAGGTTGCAAGACATGATAAACCTAGCTGAGAGGGTGGATAATAAGCCATAATATTTGGATCAGCCTTGAAAAGTATTTTTATGTCAACAATTACCTGTGCAAAACACATTGTAGGGTTTGTTTGGCATTCAAAACAGCATGTTCTCCCCAACAGGTAAGCTTCCTGTATAAACAATTGCCTCTTTGCTATGAAAAATCTAGTTTTTGGTGGCAAAACCCAAACATGACAAATCTTGCACAGAAGGAATCCTGACAGTGAAGAATCTGTTCATATTCAACACTCTCCTCAAGTAAGGTACTCTAGGAAATCTCTCTTTTTCTTTTTATATGCAGGTTGAGTTTACCTAATCCAAAATGCTTGAGACCAGAAGTTTTTCACATTTTGGAAAATCCCCCTCCTTATTGGAATAGCTATATTTACGTATACATAATGAATGAGGAAAGGGGAGTAGTCACACAACCAGTGCGCACTGAATTTTTCCTCAAAAGCTGTCAGCATACTTTCTGTCCTTTTAGCAAAGTTGCAAGAGAAGAAGGACAAAATCTTTCTCATTACCATGAATCTTTTGCATTCTTTCTGGGCTGGTCAATGAGGTTTCTTTATTGCCAGAGAGGAAGGTAAGTGTGGAAGTTTTTGCAGGATCCTTGTATAAGTGGGGCCCTTCTCTTTCTTGCATCAGGACTACCTTGAGAAAAACTTGGTGGGTGCTAGATGTATGACTATCCCCTTTTCTCCAAAGGCAGAAGTACGTGGCTCATTGCAAAAAGTTTTAGCTTTGGGGCTATTTTGAATTTTGGGGCACAACTTCTCTCTTTGTGTGCGTATATATCAATTAGCAGTGGTGAAACTGAAGAAAAGCTAGAGGACTTTCTCTAGGGGACAGGGTGCAAAGTGTGCACCTATATATAAACACAAAGAGAGAAGTTGTGCCCCAAAATTCAAAATATCCCCAAAGCCAAAACTTTTTGCAATGAACCACCCACTTCTGCCTTTGGAGAAAGGGGGATAGTCACACATCCAACAGCCACCAAGGTTTTCCTCAAGGTGGTCCTGATGCAGCAAAGAGAAGGAGAGAAGGGCACATATACACATATATATTCACACATTACTAATCAGTGAATTAACTCTTTGTGCACATTCCTTTCCATCCCTACCCTCCATTTTGGTATCCTTGCATACTCACTGTTTTTGCCATCCATTCCCGGAGGCTGAAGCCCACCAGGGGCAAAAGCACTGGCTGCTGGAGTAAAGGAAGCTCATCACATTGGTTCTGCAAAGAGAAAGGGCATTGGGAGAGGAGTCCAGGGCCAGCAAACAGGATTGTTGAGAACTCACACTTTGCATCCTGTCCCTTAGAGAAAGTCCTCTGGCCTTTCTCCTCATTCACCATTTCCTATTGTTTTAATAAAGATAGTAATATCACATCTCATCATGCTAGGATAACTGAAAGTGACCCTGCTTCTTTTCACTGGCAACTGAATGAAGTGATAACAAGGTTTCCAAAAAGATATACGACCTAGAATCAGTGGCACGTGGTGGTGTTTGTGAATTCAGTGGAAAGGTGAAAATGATCTGGCCTTAAAGGCGCTATCCAAAGTGCTGAACCTGATTACCAGAAATACATTGGACTAAAACCTAGAGTTGATTCAATGCCACCTTTATATGAAAGTCCCTATCTGCCACTGCCTGGAATAAGTCAGTTTCTTATAGATCCCAAGAGTCTTCTGCAATGAGTGAATGGCAATGGGCCATCCAGTCCATGCTCCTGTCATGCAGGAATTAACTGCAAGTAAGTCATTAAATTCATGCTACTTTCATGTTTCAGTCCCTACTTCCACGTGTGTTGTGTCAAACAGTGTGATCAAAGTTCTTGCTCCATTCAAGGACTTGAAAACCGCCGAGAAATGCAAACAAACCCAAATTCATTTTTTCAGGGGCAAGGGGAACCTTGGTCTTCAGTCCACTGGAGTTACAGCAAATAAGTGTCTCTTACCACTTGGTTCTCCAGTTCCATGCTATCACTGATGTACTTCTGGATTAGCCGCCTGTCGCATACCAGCCGTGTGGGAATCATTCTGGAAAGTTTTATGTGGAGCAGGAAGATAGTCAGGAGAAACAGTCCTGTGCAGGGAGGGGAGAGGTAAAGAGGCAGCCTGTCAAGACTATAGCATGTGCCAAGTCAGCTTCAAAGTCCAAGCACCAAGACTGGGGAGGGCAAAAGATTCTCAATAGGATTCCCGGATCACAAGAATTGGCTCATCTTCTCCAGTTCTCAGTCAGAGGAAATCAACTCAGGATAAAATCACTCCTTTGGAAAGCAAGGCAGATATGCTCCTCATTTTTTTTGGATTAATGATGAGGGTTAAATCCGCTCTGCACAACATTTAATGTATGACACATAATGTCCTCATCCTTGTTTCACCAGAGTATGCTCCTTGGGACATGACAAGAGTCTATCCCAAGGTTTTAGCTCTGAAATCTTAGGACCTGAGATATTTCCGACCTAGAAATATATTCACAACTATAGCTCAAACAAGTAATTTTCATGTACTCTGGCCCAGCAATGTCAGTGCTAAAGTTGCCACCTTCCCAGAATGGGATACTCTACCAGGGCTTTCTATAGAGCAGTGGTTCTCAACCTGTGGGTCCCCAGGTGTTTTGGCCTACAACTCCCAGAAATCCCAGCCAGTTCACCAGCTGTTATGATTTCTGGGAATTGAAGGTCAAAACATCTGGGGACCCACAGGTTGAGAACCACTGCTATAGAGCTTCATGATGCAGGAGAATCTTTGGTTCCCTCCTGAACCAAAGTAGAGTTAAGCAGCAGTAAAGTCCTGGAACTAAAGTTCAGTGGATACCAAAGCTCACTATATTTTGGAAATTACTAAAACTAGTGTAAGTTTCTCAAGAGCTGAATGTGCCTTGGATAGTATCTGGGAGATTAAATGGAATCAGTCCTGGTTGACATGTCAATGAGATATCGACAAGCAGAAGTTCCTGTCGACTAGAGAAAGGAACTGGCAAAGCTACTTCTGAGTCGTCCTTGCTTTAGACAACCCTGTGAAATTCCTGGATTTTTTTTTTATTATTTTAAAATGCAAAAATGAATACAAGTCAGGGACAGGAAACTAAAAGGCACATACACATACATTAGATTTTTTGAAGATTCACACATTTTGATGATCTGGAATTGCAACTCCCTGGATTACTCACCATGGGCTATACTGGCTAGGGCGTCGGAGAGTTGTAGTCAGCAACAGCTGAAGGACCACATAATTCTCATCTCTGGCATAGGGGATAATTCTCTGGCATAGGGGATAATTCTCATCTCTGGCAAATGCAAGTTTTGGAGCAGTGGTTCCCAACCTGTGGTCCGTGGGCCACAAGAACGAAAATATGGTCCGCGGCCTCATCATTACTACATAATTGCCTCGAAACCATGTGGCAACAAGAGTGACTGGTCTCATGAAACCGTTTATAGTGCCAAGGCAACTGGGATGTCAGGAGGAGAGAGGCTACTTATGAAAGATTACTACTACCACATCAGCAAAAGATTATTAAATATAGGGTTCTGTGGGTGAGCAGATGACGAATACTGGATGGCATATGTTCTGTATCTGTGGTCTATCCAATACAGTTTTCAGAATCAACAACCCAAATAACTAAAGAGAATCTAAAGTTGACCAAAAGCTGATATGTAACCCTTTTGGTACTAATGTTGGAAAATGGTCCCTGGTCAAATGGTCCCTGGTCAAAGTGTTCCCTAGTTTGGAACCACTGTTTTGGATTACTCATTTATCTTCCACTTAAGAAAAAATCTGGAATGTGGAGGGTTGCATCTGCTTTCCCCATCATCCCCAGCTTTGAGCAGCTCCCTTGTATGGTAGTATTTCCCATGCCAAGGAATTTTATTCATTCTTATATGAAAAATAATTAAAATCATTTACCGAAATCTGCTACACAGTGTACTGCAGTTAACCACAAAACAGAGTGTCCACTCTGAATAATTATGTTTAATTGCAGGTACTTGAGAGAGAGGGCAAATTACTTTCCCCATCCATTATCACTAAAATGTTGTTAAATATGAAGACTCTCATGAGAGCAATCTGTTCTTAGGCATGCCCTCCATGTGCCCAGTGTAGTTTGCTGCCAAGTAGTGTGCTGCCTAAGAGGGACTGTAGACATCCTGTAACATTCTTGGATACAGAGAGAACGGCTATCCTAAAAACATTAGTTTAGCGGTGGGCATTATTTGTGGTATTTTTAGGGAAGCCTGTTCTCCACAGGCTGTTCAGAATCAGCAGGTTTTTGTTCAATTTCCATTGCCAGTACTGGTATGAATTATAATGTAAATATCTGAGATGCAGGATGTATTTTCATTCACTTGACCAAATTTGGAACAAACACCCAATACGCCCAAATTTGAATACTGGTGGGGTTGGGGGGGGGGAGTTGATTATGTCGTTTGGGAGTTGTAGTTGCTGGGATTTATAGTCAATCTATAATCAAAGAGCATTCTGAACTCCACCAATGATGGAACTGAACGAAACTTTGCACACAGAACTCCCATGATGAACAGAAAATACTGGAAGGGTTTGGTGAGCATTGACCTTGAGTTTGGGAGTTGTAGTTCACGTACATCCAGAGAGCACTGTGGACTCAAACAATGATGGATCTGGAACAAACTTGGCACAAATATTCCATAAGCCCAAATATGAACACAGATGGAGTGTGAGGAAAATAGACCTTGACATTTGGAAGTTGTAGTTACTGGGATTTATAGTTCACCTACAATCAAAGAGCATTCTGAACCCCACCAACAGAATTGGGGCACACTTCCCACACAGAACCCCCATGACCAACAGAAAATACTTAAGACCATCCAGTCCAACTCCCTTCACCAGGGGCGGACCAAATGATAGATGCGGACCAAACTTGGCACAAATACTCAATATTCCCAAATGTGAATACTGGTGGAGTTTGGGGAAAATAGACCTTGACATGGCCCCGAACATTTGGGAGTCATAGATGCTAGGATTTATAGTTCACCTATAATCAAAGAACATTCTGAACCCCACCAATGATAGAATTGGGCCAAACTTCCCACACAGAACCCTCATGTCTTGAAAGGACTTGCTGATACAAGATTCCCTCCAACTTCACACACTCTCCCTTGCCTGCACATGAGCACCATGCTGCCATGCCTGCTCTCCCCTCCTCGCCTGGATTCTCAGAGAGGCCAGTCAATCACAGCGGAGGAGGGCTTTTGGTGGGAGGATTCACAGTCTGTTTCCAAAAAGGAAGAGAAGGACAGGCAGAGAGATCTTCAGCCTTCTCTGCCAAAGGGGTTCTCAAGACAATCAGAAATATATGTTTTCTGGTGGTCTTTGGCAACCTCTCTGAACCCCCCCCCCCCCAAGTTGAGAAACGCTAACCTAGGGGAAAAGGTGGAAATCATTTATCTGAAATCATGAGGATGAACCTCTACGTACTCTTATAACCGAGTGTTGTGTGAACTGTGCAGTTTATGGTTCATGCTTGTTTTTTGAGTCAAGAATGTCAGTGTTCAAAACTGAAACTGGTTTCAAACTATTTGCAATCATCATAGCATCCTGCCTAAAATTGAATGGTTTGAATAGTGTCTCTCAGTTTGATCCCCAAATTTGTCAGTAATAGTAAACTTTCCACAGTTCAGGAATGGAGTAAGAATCCAGAACCACCTTGAACTACAATTATATGTATATTGTAGACACACTCCTCTGTCATGTTTAGCTACCTTGTGGTGCCCCAGACTGGAGAGATGAACATTGGCCAAGTAAATTAAATCACAGCCCGCCAGGAACTCAACCCATTTTCTTCTCCCTCATCCCAGTTTACAAACCATTCCATATCTGAGTTGTTCTGAAGTTTGAACAAACCCCTGAGGGCACCTGCCATAGATGCAGGCGAAATGTCAGGAGAGAATGCTACTGAACATGGCCATACAACCTGAAAAACTCACAGCAACCCAGTGATTCTGACCATAAAAACTTTTAACAATTTGGAATTAGGAATTTGGAATTAGGAATTTGGAATTAGGAAGAAGAACTCCCAAAGTGATGGGATGTGAATGACCTCCATAAGCAATCGCTGCTTGGAAAGATTAGCCTTTTGGACCACAGTACCCAGAATCCCCCAACCAAGAAAACCAGTTTGGGGAGGTTTTCATACATGGTACATCTATTCTGGAGAATTAATGCAGTTTGCTTCAATGCTGTGGAATCCTGGGAGTTGTGGTTTGGTGAGGCACCAGCGGCACTCTTTGCCAGAGAAGGCTGAAGACCATGTAAAACTGGAACTCCCATGATTTCATAGCATGGAGCCATGGAAGTGGTGTCAAATGGCATTAACTCCATGGTATACATCCTTCAGGCAGATTCATCCACAGAATACAACCTTCCCAAATACAGGAAATTTGGAAATTATAGTTGGAAGAGAACTATTAACTAGTAAATGAATAAATAAACTTTGCTAAGTACTACTCCCTGTCAAACTTCCTAATCATATTTCCTAAGACAATTAGGCCTTTTTAACAGGGAGGGGGAAAGAGGGAGGGAAGGTCATTTGGCCAGCACTCACGGTTCAACTCCATGCCAAGGTGACCGCTTGGTCACAGCATCTTCCTGCCCGGGGACAGTAGCAGATCTCTGGATCCTGTCGGGCGTCCATTGAAGGCGGCTTTCCACGCTGGGACACGCAAGGGTGGCGGCTGCCGGCCAGAGGACTCCGTCCTGTTGGATGTGCTCTGGAGCACTCGCTGCGTAGTTTCCTAGCCCTCGGAGGCAGCCCGGCTCGGCTTCCTGTTGTGCTGTTGCTGACCTTTGGGCCAAGGGCCTGGAGCATGGAGTGCAGACCTTCAGGAAAGCTTTCTGCTTCCAGGCATTTCCTTCTTGGCACTTCCTCAAGTGAAGGATGAGGCAAGGGGCTGAAAGGGCTGTGTTGGAATCCCAGCAGTGACGGTGACTCAGCCGGTTAGCTTGCTTACTTCCAGAAGCATCACACACCAATGGATTTTCATCCTTGGTCCTGTTTGCTGCACTTGCTCTTCTTGGTCAAAGGAATGTGGGCATCCCAAGAACCTGGTGGGAACTCAAGCTTTGGATAGAGCTTCACTTGCTTATCTTACCCAAATTGCACATACCACTTTCTGTCTGGATTGCACCCACCTGTTCCAAACCCTTGGCAAGGAAAGAGAGGAGGTTTTTTTGAACAACAAATTGGGGAATTCAATAACAATATGTTTGAACCACACACATGTTTGCCCCATCACCAGCCACTCTACAATAATGTTTGTTAAATGTATTGTCGAAGGCTTTCATGGCTGGAATCACTGGGTTGTTGCAGGTTTTTGGGCTGTATGGCCATGTTTTAGGAGAAAATGCCTGCCAATAGGTGCAGGCAAAATGTCAGGAGAGAATGCTACTGGAACATAGCCATACAACATGAAAAACTCACAACAACCCAGTGATTCCAGCCGTGAAAGCCTTCAACAACACATTCCATATCTTTTGGAAATAGGAAGAAGAACTCTCAAAGAGATGGGGTGTGAATGACCTCCATAAGCGATCGCTGCTTGGAAAAGATAGTTTTTTGGACCACAGTACTCAGAATCCCCCAACCAGGATAGCTAGTTCTGAGAAGTTTTCATACAGGGTACTTCTATACTGGAGAATTAATGCAGTTTGGTGCAATGCTGTGGAATCCCAGGAGTTGTGGTTTGGTGAGGCACTGGCACTCTCTGCCCCGGAGTGTGGTGGAGGCTCCTTCTTTAGAAGCTTTTAAACAGAGGCTGGATGGCCATCTGTCAGGGGTGATTTGAATGCAATATTCCTGCTTCTTGGCAGGGGGTTGGACTGGATGGCCCATGAGGTCTCTTCCAACTCTTTGATTCTATGATTCTATGATTTGGCAGAGAAGACTGAAGACCATGTAAAACTGGAACTCCCATGATTTCAGAGCATGGAGCCATGGAGGTGGTGTCAAACTGGTGTCCCAACTTCTAGAACATGGCCATACAGTTCAAAAAACCTACAACAACCCGATGTTTGTTAAGTTCTTGCTGGGGAACTGATATAAACTAATGCTTACTCTCAAATGGACCAGGGAAGGATGTAGAGCTCAGCTCAATGGCAGAGCTTACAGAAAAGCCAGGTTTCAATCCCTGCCATCTCCAGATAGAGCTGTCAAAGATGCCTCCTCATCAATCCCCTGTCATAGCAGATACAATAAAGCTGTGTGGACCAAAGCTTGGATGGAGAATAGAGGAGCTTCCTAAAGAGCTACGCAAAGCATTCCACACCAAGGGTGCATCTCCACCGTAGAATTAATTGGGTTTGACATGACTTTGACAACCATAGCAGAAAGTTAAGAACCTCTGAAAGAAGGAGACCACACTACACTGCAAGGCAGTATGTTTCTATGTCAAACAGGAAATATTTTCCAATGTTTAGATATAAATTCTTTTCCTGTAGTTTGAATCCATTGCTGTCCCAGCCTCTGGAGCACCAGAAAACAAGCCTGCTCCATCTTCTAGATGACATCCTTTCAGATGTTTAAACATAGGCATCATGTCCCCTCTTACCCTTCTCTTTTCCAAGCTAAACATTGCCCAGCTCCCTAAACTGTTCTTTAGAGGTCTTGGCTTTCAGACCTTTTACCATTTTGGTCACCATCCTCTAAACATGTCCCAGCTTGTCAATATCTTTTTTGAATTGTGGTGTCCAGAATTGGACACAGTCTTTCAGGTGTGATCTGTCATGTTATTAATTCCCTCAATCTAGATACTATACTTTTATTGATGTGGCCTGGAATCACATTAGCTGTTTTAGTTACCACATCGCCAACACTCTTTGGCAGAGAAGGCAAAAAACCTTGTAAAACTACAGTTCCCAAAATTCCATAGTATTAAGGCCCTGGATGTGAAAGTGGTGTCAAATGGCACTAATTCAATTAAATACAAATACAACTAAAGCAATTTGATACCTCTTTAACTGCGATTCCAGAAATACAGCTTAATGGTGTAACATTTGAAAACGCTGACCATTTCTGCTATCTTGGCAGCCATCTCTCCACAAAAGTCAACATTGACACTGAAATTCAACACCGCCTGAGCTCTGCAAGTGCAGTATTTTTCCGAATGAAGCACAGAGTGTTTGGCAACCGGGACATCCGTAGGGATACCAAGGTGCTTGTTTACAAAGTTATTATTCTCCCAACCCTGCTATATGCCTGCAAAACATGGACTGTCTACAGACGTCACATGCAACTCCTGGAATGATTCCATCAGTGTTGCCTCTGAAAAATCCTGCAAATCTCTTGGGAAGACAGGCAAACAAATGTCAGCGTGCTGGAAGAAGCAAAGACCACCAGCATTGAAGTGATGGTCCTCCGCCATCAACTCCACTGGACTGGCTATGTTGTCCGAATGCCTGACCACCGTCTCCCAAAGTAGTTGCTCTACTTCGAACTCAAGAATGGAAAGGGAATGTTGGTGGGCAGGAAAAGAGATTTAAAGATAGGCTCAAAGCCAACCTTAAAAACTCTGGCATAGACACTGAGAACTGGGAAGCCCTGGCCTCTGAGCGCTCCAGCTGGAGGTCATCTGTGACCAGCAGTTCTGTAGAATTTGAAGAGGCATGAATGGAGGGTGAAAGAGAGAAACATGCCAAGAGGAAGGCGCGTCAAGCCAACCCCGACTGGGACCGCCTTCCACCTGGAAACCAATGCCCTCATTACGGGAGAACATGCAGGTCAAGAATAGGGCTCTACAGTCACTGCCAGTACACTGATCTTGGATGACATTCCTACTCAGACAACGAGGGATCGCCTAAGTAAGTAAGTACCTCTTTAACTGCCATGGCTGCATCCTACAGAATCCTGGCACTTGTAGTTTTGTGTTAGTCAGAAATAGTCATAACTAGTGATGCAAAATATATTACCGGTCTCTGGTACATTTGTGGAAAATATTACCAAATGACAACATCAGATAAACTGATCAGCACTTTCTGAGAATTTGAAACACTTCACCAAACTACAAGTCCCAACATATTATAGGATACAACCATGGTGGTTAAAGGTACATCAATGTGCTATAATTGTGGAGAGAGAACAAAATATAAACAAAATCTCTAAAATCCATTTCTGCAACCTGCTTGTGTCCAGTGGCACATTTTCTCCCTAATTTAGATCTAACCTCCCTTCTTTGCACTTGTCCCTCATTCAGACTCCCCTGCCCATATATCTCTCTGGGGCCCCTTTTACCCTGTCATAGAATCCAGATTATCAAAGCAGATAATCCACATTATCTGCTTTGAACTGGATTAGATGAGTCTACACTGTCATATAATCCAGTTCAAAACAATCTGGATTTTACATGGCAATGTAGAAGAGGCCCGGGTCAGGCCAGTACCATTTACATGCAAAAGAGGTCAGGGCAGCAGCATGCTAAAATTATTTAAGCTCCAGGTCCACGTTGTCCTTTTCACGTAGCCACCTTATTCTCTGACCCATGCAGATAATTTCAGAGGAGTCTTTCATAGCCATACTTCATTTACTGAATTTTGAGGGGAATTTCAGACAACATTTTTTGGGCTTCCTACACATGTAAACCCCACTGCTGCTTCCATGCTTTTCCTCCCTGTACAAAATCAAAGCGAAAAAGATAAGGACTGCCCTTTAACTGCTAAGGCAAACTTTCTTTTCTCTGGAAACATTCAATGACAAAACGCAGCCAGTTTCCTGGCAGTGACTGTCCCCTTTCAGTAATTTTTGTCTGTTTGATGAACCAAGCAAACAAATCCTTTCACCCTGCTGTCTCGTGCTATGTGATGGACAGAGCTCTCAAAAGGCAACTTTCTCCATGCTAGAAGTGTGCCTTGACAAACACCCACCTTGAATGCCGCAGGGGGTCCAACGCCTTGAGGATTGTACCACCAAGAAGCCTGGCACTCACTTGGCAGGGAAAGGAGATCTCCCATCATCACCGCCCCATCAGGAGTAGGGGCCGGAAGATAAGGGCGGTCAACCACCTTTCTGCTTCCTGAGCCAATGTTGCCTCAAAGTCCTCTCTCACATACACATACAAACCCACACAGTGGCATTACACCTCTGCCAAACTCAGACCAGGATGTGACAAGCCTCACGTCCCACAAAAGCAGAAGCGTGGGCAGGATGGCACAGGCTTAAATCACACAAATACAGATTCCCTAGCTGTTCAAATGAAGTGCGTGAACCAAAACCCAACAAACAAGAGTGGGACCCAGATCCATCTTCATTGCCATATAATCAGTTTCAGAATGCAGATTAACTGAATTGAACTGGATTATATGGCAGTGTAGACTCTTATTATATGGCAGTGTAGACCCCCGGTGGCACAGTGGGTTAAAGCATTGAGCTGCTGAGCTTGTTGATCGAAAGGTCGCAGGTTCGATTCCGGGGAGCGGCGTGAGCTTCCGCTGTCAGCCCTAGCTTCTGCCAACCTAGCAGTTCGAAAACATGCAAATGTGAGTAGATCAATAGGTAGCGCTCTGTCGGGAAGGTAACGGCGCTCCATGCAGTCATGCCGGCCACATGACCTTGGAGGTGTCTACGGACAATGCTTAGAAATGGAGATGAGCACCACACCCCAGAGTCAGACATGACTGGACTTAATGTCAGGGGACTACCTTTACCTTTACCTTAGACTCTTATAATCCAGTTCAATGCTGTGCAATCTGCATTCTATGAGTCTACACCAGGCATAGGCAAACTTTGGCTCTCCAGGTGTTTTGGACTTCAACTCCCACAATTCCTAACAGCCTATTGGCTGTTAGGAATTGTGGGAGTTGGTCCAAAACACCTGGAGAGCCAAAGTTTGCCTATGCCTGGTCTACTCTAACCATTATGATGCAGATTTAACTGAGTCCCAGGAGGGTGGCCTTTTGCAGCTAACAGATGGTAATTTTGTCAGTGCCGATTGTGTTTAAGTGCAGGCCAAGGTCTTTAGGCACTGCACCCATTGGGTCCACCTTGACTGGCTTATGCCAGAGTCTTTGCAGTTCGATCTTTAAATCCTCATATCATTTCAGCTTTTCCAGTTTTTTATTGTTGTTGTTGTTGTTGTTGTTGTTTTTCACTATGTTAAGAACATAGCAAGGAAAATGTGCATCCGCTTACTGTAATGCATGCCAAAACGCACAAGGGTAGGAAAAGTCCACTGATCTGATATGAAAAGGGAACAGGACAAAATGTCATATTAGGCTGATAAGAATAGGAATCACCAGCCCTGTTCATGTCTCCTAGATTTTTAGATCTAGAAGTGCTCAGACCTGACCAGCAGGAGGCAGCAGAGAGCTACATCTGAAGCCATAGAATATGTGCTGAAAATGAATCAAGAAGGTATAATTTTCACTAAAGGTCGTAGTAGTTTTTGTGTTTTTGTGTTTAGATATATGTTGATATGATGCATGAGGAGCCTAGTGCCATCTGTTCCTGGCTCCCTTTGTTATGTTATTGTTGTACTGTGCCATTTGAGTTGTTTCCGACTTATAGCACCGTATTATTGGGTTTTCTGTGGCTAAGAGGATGCGACTTGTCCAAAGTCACCCAGTTAGTTTCCATATTCCAGTGGGAAATTGAATCCTGGCATTCAGAGTTATAAGCCCCATCTAAATTGCATTATATGGTCAATGTACACTCGTGCAACGCAGTTCAATGCAGCCTTATATAGAATCATAGAATCAAAGAGTTGGAAGAGACCTCATGGGCCATCCAGTCCAACCCCCTGCCAAGAAGCAAGAATATTGCATTCAAATCACCCCTGACAGATGGACATCCAGCCTCTGTTTAAAAGCCTCCAAAGAAGGAGCCTCCACCACACTCCGGGGCAGAGAGTTCCACTGCTGAACGGCTCTCACAGTCAGGAAGTTCTTCCTCATGTTCAGATGGAATCTCCTCTCTTGTAGTTTGAAGCCGTTGTTCCTCTTCCTAGTCTCCAGGGAGGCAGAAAACAAGCTTGCTCCCTCCTCCCTGTGGCTTCCTCTCACATATTTATACATGGCTATCATATCCCCTCTCAGCCTTCTCTTCTTCAGGCTAAACATGCCCAGCTCCTTAAGCTGCTCCTCATAGGGCTTGTTCTCCAGACCCTTGATCATTTTAGTCGCCCTCCTCTGGACACATTCCAGCTTGTCAATATCTCTCTTGAATTGTGGTGCCCAGAATTGGACACAATATTCCAGGTGTGGTCTAACCAAGGCAGAATAGAGAGGGTAGCATGACTTCCCTGGATCTAGACACTATGCTCCTACTGATGCAGGCCAAAATCCCATTGGTTTTTTTTTTTTTTGCCACCGCATCACATTGTTGGCTCATGTTTAACTTGTTATCCACAAGGATCCCAAGATCTTTTCCACACGTACTGCTCTCGAGCCAGGCATTGTCCCCCATTCTGTATCTTTGCATTTCGTTTTTTCCTGCCAAAGTGGAGTATCTTGCATTTGTCACTGTTGAACTTCATTTTGTTAGTTTTGGCCCATCTCTCTAATCTGTCAAGATCGTTTTGAATCCTGCTCCTGTCCTCTGGAGTATTGGCTATCCCTCCCAATTTGGTGTCGTCCTCAAACTTGATGATCCTGCCTTCTAGCCCTTCATCTAAGTCATTAATAAAGATGTTGAACAGGACCGGGCCCAGGACGGAACCCTGCTGGCACTCCACTTGTCACTTCTTTCCAGGATGAAGAGGAAGCCTTGGGGAGAATCACCCTCTGGGTTCGTCCCTTTAACCAATTACTGATCCACCTCACCATAGTTTTGCCTAGCCCACATTGGACTAGTTTCCTTGCCAGAAGGTCATGGGGGACCTTGTCGAAGGCCTTACTGAAATCCAGGTATGCTACATCCATGGCATTCACCGCATCTACCCAGCTTGTAACTCTATCGAAAAAAGTATAAGTATGCACTAACCATATAAAGCAGTTTGAAACTGTATTATATGACATTCTAGATGTGGCCATAGTCCAGTGTTCAAACTACTACACCACAATTGCTCTCTAGGTTCATTAAAAATTGAAAATGATTTGGAGGTACACAACACAAAGATGCTTAGTAGACTTTACTCCCAAGAAATCAACATACGTTTGCAGCATGCAATGCAAAAATTGGGAAACTTCTGAACTGCAGTTCCCATCATCAATCACCATTGGCTATGTTGGATAATAGTTCCCCTGGTGGTGCAATGGGTTAAACCTTGTACCAGCAGGGCTGAAGGCCGATAGGTCGGAGGTTTGAATCTAGGGAGAGCGTGGATGAGCTCCCTCTGTCAGCTCCAGCTCCCCATGCGGGGACATGAGAGAAGCCACCCACAAGGATGGTAAAACATCAAAACACTCTGGCCAAAATTAGGAAACTTGTGGGCTGCAGTTCCCATTATCAGTCACCATTGTCTATGTTAGCTAATGGTGACCTTAGTGGCACAATGGGTTAAACTCTTGTGCCAACAGGACTGAAGACCGACAGGTTGGAGGATCAAATCCGGGGAGAGTGCATATGAGCTCCCTTAGTCAGCTCCAGGTCCCCATGCAGGGAAATGAGAGACGCCTCCCACAAGAATGGTAAAACATCAAAACACCCAGGCATCCCCTAGGCAACATTCTTGCAGACGGCCAAGGGGAGAGCATGGATGAGCTCCCTCTGTCAGCTCCAGCTCACCATGCGGGGACATAAGAGAAGCCTCCCACAAGGATGGTAAAACATCAAAACACCCAGGCATCCCCTAGGCACATTCTTGCAGATGGCCAAGGGGAGAGCATGGATGAGCTCCCTCTGTCAGCTCCAGCTCACCATGCGGGGACATAAGAGAAGCCTCCCACAAGGATGGTAAAACACCAAAACACCCAGGCATCCCCTAGGCCACATTCTTGCAGATGGCCAAGGGGAGAGCATGGATGAGCTCCCTCTGTCAGCTCCAGCTCACCATGCGGGGACATAAGAGAAGCCTCCCACAAGGATGGTAAAACATCAAAACACCCAGGCATCCCCTAGGCAACATTCTTGCAGATGGCCAAGGGGAGAGCATGGATGAGCTCCCTCTGTCAGCTCCAGCTCACCATGCGGGGACATAAGAGAAGCCTCCCACAAGTATGGTAAAACATCAAAACACCCAGGCATCCCCTAGGCAACATCCTTGCAGACGGCCAATTCTCTCACACCAGAAGTGACTTGCAGTTTCTCAAGTTGCTCCTGGTACAAAAAAAAATGTTGGCTAATGGGAGTTGTAGTCCAACATCATTTGGAAAATCTGTTAATTTTTCACTCAAATGATTAATTTTACCCAATCAAATTGCAAAGATATCCAATATTTTTGTATATTGGGAGGAGGAGAGAAAGGTCAACTGCTGTTTTTGCTTTCTTGCCAGATGGGAAGCAGGGAGAAATTAAAGTTGGAGTTTAAAAACACAGAGAAATTGTGCGTTTGAATACCGAGTTAACTACTTTTAAAATTCCACCGTCTTCCATGTATTGTCATTCTTCATACTTATCTTATATCATGTTAACTATAAACAAAAGTCATTTCTGATTTTACATTTTATCATAAATATGAATATCCCCTAAAAGTACTCATGTTGCCAAAAGTGGATTTGAAATTTCAGAAAAATTTGCAGGACAGGAAAAGCATTATCACCTGCTAATGTTGGCACATTCACCAGCCATTAAGGTTCAACTCCTGTGCCCCTTAGAAAAGTTGGCAACCCTATTTGGGACTCATTTGAGCCCTATTGGGTACTAATTTGTGCCCGTGTCTCTGGTGGGAAAGACAAAGACCTATGCTAATTATTTATAATTTGCTACAGATATTCAATTATAATCAGAGTCTCCAAACTGAGCCTGGAGGACTCTTAGGGGTCTAAATCAGTAAACCAAGACCACTGTGTGAATACACATGGAAACCGTTTGCATCACATTGCCCATTATTTAGCATTTATTTAGTGAAAATCGCGGTGATAGGCACATGGGAAGTGAATCTTTGGCTGTCTCAAGACATTTCACCCCCCAGATACCTGCAGTCTGCATTTCAGTG